TTCTGGATCACACAGAAAAAAAAAGAACTTTGCTTTAGTTCAGCAAATATGGTCCATTTAAGTATATTTAATCAAAGAGCACTTGGTGAAGACGGTAGTAGCTTCTGTATCTCAGACTCTTGCACTGCTGGCCACCCTGGCCCTACTGTTAGGTTAACCCAACATATTTGTCTGTCAGTGTCACCAAATTATTCCCATCCTAGTCCTGAAACAGTGTCATGCTCTTCACTTAGCAACTCTTCAACCCTGAGGAGAGTTTATTCAACTGAATTAATTTTCTCCTTTCAGCCCTTCTCTGTCTGCCAGCTCATCTGAAAGGTTGGTCTCTCTAAGCTTAAAGTCTTGTCTGGATTTCCTACAAATACCTTTAAACTTGTGAACAATGCTTACTCCTCTTCCATACAGCTTGTTCGCCCTCCCTGTTCACTGTCTGACTTTGGGGAGGCTGAATCCCCATGGAGCATTGTGCTCCGTTGTACTTGAGCTTTTTTCCTTCAGCGTCTTTTTGTTTTGTTGGCGAGATCACTGGGAAAGACATCTGCATGGGAAGGTTATTTACGAAGTCCATATACCTCCCGTTCTTCCTGACGGGACCATTTTCACTGCATCTGTTATGGTTGTCTAAGGACACATTGTGAATTACAGCCCAGCTGCTTCCCCAGCTGAATGGCTTTTTCATGTCTGCAGCCCTTGCTATGCTCCCAAAGACAATGGCCCCACTCTGTGGCTACAGCAGAGGATTACATGCCCCAAATTCAGGGTGCAAAAGTAGCCTGAAATCCTTTTTTTCTCCAAGAAACGTGGGCTTGCTCTTGCCTATGTCTTTGGCATAACATAGACCAGCCCTCAACCTGCTTTATACTAAATGAGCTATGTGATGCCAGCCAGTCTGACATGCAAACGGACCCACCTGAATCACAGCCCCACTCTCATCATAGCTGCACAGAACTCCTGGCTCTGCCAGACTCCCCATAAGCGGGGTGGCTCAAACTGGCCAAGATTCTGCCCCAGGCTGGGGCTTGGCCAGGGACACTTTGCTGATCCTACATGAAGATGTTTTCACGGTTCCTCCCAGCACTACAGATAAAAGCAACATCACTTTCAAGGCCAGGTAAGTGTGTTAGTGTAATCACCACTCAGGTGACAGCAAGCAGGACCAGGTGAGATGAGCTATTTTTCACTTCTTCGAGTGTTTTCTTTGTTTTAGATTAGTGGGAGCTGATCACCCCTTTTAAGTCTGAAAATCACAGTAGGTGGCTATCAGGTGGTCTGGGATGTCTACAAGCCATCAGGAAATAGGTCCGGGCTTCTTTGCATGGTTTAAATTCACCTTTTGTTCCTTATGGACAGCAGCACAATGGGTGTATTTGTTACTGTGGTTAACATGCTTGCCAAAAGATGCAGTTTTAATACAATTAACCTCTGTGAGCAGCTTCAGTTAAAAAATTAGAAGGAAAAAAATTTGGTTTTTTAAGTGTAATCTAATCTATATATTTTTTTAACCAAACTTTAGAAGTTTTATTTGGTAAACTATATTTTTGCCAAAA